TATCATCTTTCAACGCTCATAGTTTGATAATTGCTATCATCTTTCAATGCTGATAGCTTGATAATTGCTATCATCTTTCAACGCAGATAGCTTGATAATTGCTATCATCTTTCAACGCTCATAGCTTGATAATTGCTATCATCTTTCAACGCTGATAGCTTGATAATTGCTATCATCTTTCAACGCTGATAGCTTGATAATTGCTATCATCTTTCAACGCTGATAGCTTGATAATTGCTATCATCTTTCAATGCTGATAGCTTGATAATTGCTATCATCTTTCAACGCTGATAGCTTGATAATTGCTATCATCTTTCAACGCTGATAGCTTGATAATTGCTATCATCTTTCAACGCTGATAGCTTGATAATTGCTATCATCTTTCAACGCTGACAGCTTGATAATTGCTATCATCTTTCAACGCTGATAGCTTGATAATTGCTATCATCTTTCAACGCTCATAGCTTGATAATTGCTATCATCTTTCAACGCTGATAGCTTGATAATTGCTATCATCTTTCAACGCTGATAGCTTGATAATTGCTATCATCTTTCAACGCTGATTGCTTGATAATTGCTATCATCTTTCAACGCTGATAGCTTGATAATTGCTATCATCTTTCAACGCTGATAGCTTGATAATTGCTATCATCTTTCAACGCTGATAGCTTCATAATTACTATAATCTTTCAACGCTGATAGCTTGATAATTGCTATCATCTTTCAACGCTGAGAGCTTGATAATTGCTATCATCTTTCCACGCTGATAACTTGATAATTGCTATCATCTTTCAACGCTGATAGCTTGATAATTGTTATCATCTTTCAACGCTGATAGCTTGATAATTGCTATCATCTTTCAACGCTGATAGCTTGATAATTGCTATCATCTTTCATTGCTGATAGTTTGACAATTGCTATCATCTTTCAACGCTAATAGCTTGATAATTACTATCATCTACCAACGCTTATAGCTTGATAATTGATATCGTCTTTCAACGCTGATAGCTTGATCATTCAAATTCTGGCGTTTATAGGATATTTAAAAAATGGAATATAATTGTTCGTGTGATAACTTGTCAATATCAGCTCTGATTCGCTTCAGACCTTCAACGCTGTTATCTATCTGCATTATAAATTTAATCCATACTTTGTATTAATATTTTTGCATGCACTGGTGTACAGGACTTAGGGTTGTGCAATACGGGAATATCTTTCTCGGATCGCAGAGCGACAGAGATACATCTAATGATGGCTTGTTCTTGCAGCCTTTTAGCAACTCCCGCCAGGAGACTCCCATGTGCTCAGTTATGTTCACTGAATGAGCATTTTTTCCTCCCCAGTGGGTTCAGGTACTGCTGGTGGGGTGTTAGCAGCGCGGCTGTCAGAGGTAGCTGAGTGGAATGTGTTGTTGCTGGAATCTGGTGGTCCCCCGCCGCCTGAGAGCGTCATTCCTGCCCTCAACATCGTCCTCATGCAGAGTGACGCTGAGTGGAACTACTTTACAGTGCCGCAGAAACATGGCTTGCGTGGCTACGTTAACAATGTAAGTATCCTGGTGGACAACACTCACTAAATAAAATGGAAGATAAGAGGAGTTCTGAGGCAGTAATGTACAATACTCTACTTACCTTTCATTTTATTTTTTCCATGCGACTTTCTTTGTGCTACTGATCAGTTTTTATTATGCATCTGTATTTAGATTTTGGTAAATCTCGCCCTTAGTGACAAATATATCGATTACTACAGTCTTTACGAATTTATTTTACAGTACATACTAATTGAATTAAAAAGAAAAAACCTAGATATATTATATTGGTATTCACGAACACAACTCAAAATTTGTATATTACGACTATGTACGTACTTTTGTTTCATGATCACAAGAAATAAATTTTTGATCTTGATCTGCAATTTAAAATCTTTTAAAGCGCTTGGAATTTACTTCCCTTTCAGTGTTAAAAACATAAATATAGCTAATTACGTTTATTCAGACATGCTATTACAAATTCTGATGTTCTGTTCTCATACGTAAGTTATGATTCACTAGCAAATGCTCCTGCCTGTATGTGCGTCACTTCCGGGAAACATGGTATAAGATTTTGCTGAAATATCTTTTAAAAACCTGTTTGAAACTTATCATTCATGATACATTATATTACGACTCATGATGTTACAAATGACATGAGTTAGTAACACATGTTCCTGATGCATAAGACATTTGTGTTACATCCATGTATAGCACATATATCTTATTCATTATTTTGTTTATTATGTACCTTTGATCTAAAAATAAATCCCATGCTATAGGCATGTCACTTTCCTGTGGGACGTACCCTGGGAGGCTCAAGCGTCGTGAACTGGATGATGTACGTCCGTGGTAACAGGCGAGACTTCGACAACTGGGAGGCGATGGGTAACCCAGGATGGAGTTACAAAGATGTGCTCAAGTACTTCAAGAAAGCCGAGGATTACCGAGGAGACCGCAGTAGTGCCACAGGTTAGTGAAGGGTTCAAGTATATTAGCAATGGTTAACACAGAAGTTCACCAGATACATGTGCCTCGTGTATTAAGTGCAAGGTGACATGTCTGGAACAGTGTGTGACTGCTCATGAATTGTCATGAGGCAGAAACCAAGAGCTGAAGCTCAACTAATACGGCCACAAACAGATGAGAGTACATATGTTAATACAAAAGGAGGAAATCTGATGTTCCCAAGTACAAACATATATAAATGTATAAGAGCATAAGAACAGCGGAGCACTTCAGCAGTCTCTCACCACATGGTGAATAACGCTATGTATAACACACATATGCAGCACCTGGGTATCTTTACCGAGAGACATTTTGCCTGCACAACAGGTTTTACCAAAGTAATACAGAAAAAAGAGGACGGAGCTTTTATTTCAAAACCAAAGAAAAGGTAGAAATATGGAACACTTGAGAAAGATCAAGTTGTGAGTGTGGGGGAGGTGCGTGAGGCTGTGGGGGAAAATGAAAGGGGGTAAAGCAGCTGGGATTGATGGAATCAAGAACGAAATATTAAAAGTAGGTAGTGATATAGTTTTGGAGTGGTTGGCACATTTATTTAATGAATATATGAAAGAGGGAAAGGTACCTAGTGAATGACGGCAAAGAGGACAAAAGAGAGTATAAGAATTATAGGGGAATTAGCCTGTTGAGTATACCAGGTAAGGTGTATGGTAGAGTTATTATTGAAATAATTAAGGGTAAGACGGAGAGCAGGGTGGCAGATGAACAAGGAGGCTTCAGGAAGAGTAGATGTTGTATAGACCAAGTTTTTTTACAGTGAAGCATGTAAGTGAGCAGTATTTAGATAAGGGTAAAAAAATTTGTTGCATTTATGGATTTGGAAAAATCGTGTGATAGTGTGGATAGAGGAAACAAAGTGTTGCAGGTGTGTGGAATAGGGAGAGGTGTGGGATTAAAAGATAAAGAATCTAGCACAAGGGGGGAGTTGTCACAATTGCATTTTCGTCTGATGACACTGTGCTTTTGGGAGATTCTGAGGAGAAATTGCAGAGGTTGGTGGACGAATGTTGGAGGATGTGTAAAAAAAAGGAAATTAAAAGTGAACATAGGAAGAGCAAGGTGATTAGGATAAAAAAATGGAAGGAGGAAGTATGGAGGAAGAGAATGTGTTCAGATGTTTATGAGTGGACTTGTCAGTAGATGGGTTTATGAAGTACGTTCTTATACGGGTGTGAAGCATGGGTTACGAATGTTGTATCAAGAAGAAGGCTGGAGGTAGTTGAGATGTCATGCCTGAGGGCTATGTGAGGTATGAATATTAAGCAGAGAATTCGTAGCTTGGAGAATAGAAGGAAGTGTGTGGGGGAGGGGAGAGTATTAAAAGTATTATCCAGAGAACTGAAGAGGGGTTGTTGGGGCGACTTGGGCATTTAGAGAGGATGGAACAAAATCGAATGACTTGGAGGGCGTATAACTCTGTAGTGGAGGGAAGGCGGGTAGGGGTCGTCCTAGGAAAGGTTGGAATGACAGTGTAAAGAAACACACTTGTAAATGGTCCAAGTCGGACCAACACGTCGTCATAAGCTCCTCTCTTCTATGTGCGGGTTATTTGTGTATCGTTCCTGTATTTTTTTTTTTTTTTGTTATTTAAGAGTGTAAAGTTTTTTTGAGCGAGGGTCTTAAACTTCCAACCAGCGTGTGTGAGCGTGTTACATAGGAGTGAGTGAAGGCAAATGGTTATTATAACTTGACGTGTTGTTGGAATTTAAACAAAGATGTTTTACAGTTATTGGCAGGGATAGCGTCTACCCCTGCAGTAGATTGAACATGGTTGTGTCCCTTACTGCTGATATTGTTGATGGTGAATCTGGAGGTAGATACTTGGTATGACGTACTGGCAAAAAGGTTGGAGACTTGTTTGGCAACGGAGTTAGTGGAGAGGACTATGTATCTCTCTCGGCAGTATCTTGTCTGGGTGAGTTGCAGGTGTTATATGTATGGTGTTTGCAATCTCTAATGAAGTGATGAGGATAGTGAGGCTTCTTCGTGTCCTAATCTGCAGTAGTGAAAATATTTCCTACTATCTTCATCTGCTTCAGATTATGTCCAGGTATTATACTGATAAAAACCACTGGATGGCGATACATCTATAAGATAAAGATACCAAGATGTTGCACATGTGTCTAATTCCTCGTCTTGTCAATATTGTATACCACTGATATGCAACTCCATTTGTATGTTCTAATGTATACATGAAAACATACATATAGGCAATACATACACTAATATATATGGACACATACTTATGTACCTGATCAAATATACGCAAAAGTGTACATACGTGCATATATACATACGCACACAGGTGCACATTTGTATATTTTCTGCATTATAAATTCTTATCTATGCTTGCACTATTCCTGTCGCGTACATTGAGACTGGTCACCTTGGGTAGCTTCAGATATAGGTTATATAAATATATGAGTGAGAAAGGGTGGATATGAGTGGGATTTCAAAGCTTATTTCTTGAATTGCATCGGAATTGGAATGGGAAAATATATTTGTTAGGGGGGTTGGGTTTGAGAAGCACTTGCCTAGTATGGGGCCAGTAGGCCTGTTATTGTGTTCCTCCCTTCTTATAGTCTTATGGTTGGTTATTGAGGGGTTTTAAAGCCTATCGACTACTCTTTGGTCATTAGTTGCATCTGTGTCCTTTTACCTACCGATTCGTGGATAATTCTACCATGGTGACTTTTTTAACCCCCAGATGGCAAGAATACATTATTTCCTAAATTAGGAACTGAGGTATTTTCAAAATATATATGCTGAGAGAAATACACTCCACAGAGAATGCATCCACAAAAGGATTGTAGATGAATGGTTCAGAGAACCGACATGTTGATATATTAGACACATGTGCAACTCTTGGGTATCTTTATTGAGGAAACGTTTCGCCATACAGTGGCTTCATCAGTCCATACAAAGGAGAAACTTGAAGAACAGGAGGAGAATGAGGTAATCAGTCCCTCAACCTTGAGTCGATGTGGTCAGTCCATCAATCTTGAATAGAATACGGCATATGTGCAGAGAAGGAGCTTATAAACCGTATGGCAGGAGAGGTGCAGCAGTCATAGGTGGTGTCACATTTGTTCAATGTGGAAGTAGGTCGTGCCCAAGGGTTAGGCAAGCGAAGAATTCCCAAGTATTAAGATCCCAAGAAGTTGCAGTGTCGGATAGGATTGTAGATGAATGGTTCAGAGAACCGACATGTTGATAAATTAGACACATGTGCAACTCTTGGGTATCTTTACTGAGGAAACGTTTCGCCACAAAGTGGCTTCATCAGTCCATACAAAGGAGAAAGGTAAGACACATATGCAACAGTTAGGTATTTTTATTATAATAAAGATACCTAACTGTTGCATATGTGTCTTACCTAACAACCTGTCGGTATTTTATACCATTTTAATGTTCAAAGGAGAAAACACCTACGACTGCTGCACCTCTCCTGCCTACGGTTTATAAGCTCCTTCTCCGCACTTATGCTGTATTCTATTCAAGATTGATGGACTGACCACATCGACTCAAGGTTGAGGGACTGATTACCTCATTCTCCTCCTGTTCTTCAAGTTTCTCCTTTGTATGGACTGATGAAGCCACTGTGTGGCGAAACGTTTCCTCAACGAAGATACCCAAGAGTTGCACATGTGTCTAATTTATCATCCACAAAAGGACACAAGTGCAACTAATGCCAGAATAAAACATCGCATTAGTTGCACATATGACGTTTTACCTAACATATTGTCGGTAATTCTGCCAGCATTATTACAATGTTCATTGAGATACAAGGGGCTAAAGTTATGAAATACGGGAAAATCTTTCTCGGACGGCACACGACCGATATATTTCTACGTTGGTACAGAATCATAGGAGGTAAAACATTCAAGGTCAGGTAGCGAAAGGTGAGTACACTCACCATAATGAATGTGGGTCACAGGGTCCCTGGTTGCAAGTGGCGACTACTCGACTCTTAAGTTATTAATCAGTGGGAACCTGTGTAGGTGGGTGAGGGGCATGTGGAGTTAAACGTTGGTGTGAATGACAGTAGGTACCATAACGTCATTGGAATAGAATACCAACAAGTTTAAGTACATTAGGCACATGTGCAACAACTGGATATCTCTGTTATGTACAGTTTGTAAATGTTTCGCCAACTAGTGGTTTTATCAGCACAATACAAGGACGGAAAATAGAAGAGTGAAGAGGTTGAAGATGGGGTAATTAGTAGTTTAGCTTAAGAACAAGTGTTCACAACGTAGTCTTGATGAATCTGAAGCACAGGCGGAGGAAGTGGGCTTATATACCAGTCAGATGAAAGCATCGTCACCGACAGACGGGATTCCCCAGGGAAGTAGGTCATACCCCAAAGTTAGGACAGCTGTCGCAGGAGTTCGTACAGTAATGGGTGCGTCTACCTGCCTACCTGGAGAGAGTTCCTGGAGTCAACGCCCCCGCGGCCCGGTCTGTGACCAGGCCTCATGGTGGACCAGGGCCTGACCAACCAGACTGTTACTGCTGGCCGCACGCAGTCCAACGTACGAACCACAGCCCGGCTGGTCAGGTACCGACTTTAGGTGCCTGTCCAGTGCCTGCTTGAAGACAGCCAGGGGCCTATTGTTAATCCCCCTTATGTATGCTGGGAGGCAGTTGAACAGTCTTGGGCCCCTGACACTTATTGTGTTGTCTCTTAACGTGCTAGTGACACCCCTGCTTTTTACTGGGGGGATGTTGCATCGTCTCCCGAGTCTTTTGCTTTCGTAGGAAGTGATTTACGTGTGCAAGTTTGATACTGTTAGGTAAGACACATATGCAACAGTTAGGTGTCTTTATTTCGAAACGTTTCGCCTACACAGTAGGCTTCTTCGGTCGAGTACAGCAAAGTTGATAGAAGCAGAAGAGACTTGAAGACGATGTAATTAGTCCATCACCCTTGAAGTTTTGAGGTG